ATATTGTAAATATACTTGGACAGGTTTACAAGAAGTTGTTCCCAAAGCATTAGATTCAGTTCTTTTGATTACAATTTGTCATTATGCACAAAAATCTTGGTGTTATATAGATATATATAGAAAGAGAATTACAGGTAAAATGGCAGAATTTGCAATAAAAAAATATAAATTGCATAAGAGAGTTTCTGATAGTATTTATAATGAGCTTGATTTAAATATTAATAAATAAATTTTAATTTATATTAAAATTAAACTGTTATTTTCGTTAAATATAAAGTCATGTGACTTGTTGAATTCTAGATTATGATTAGCTTTTGGTATTTCACATGATAAATTATATAAGCAAATGAATTTGAGACTTTTTTTTATTTTATGAATCAATTTCTTTTTGCAAGTAGATCTCAATTTTTTTTATTAAATCAAAATCCAATCATAGAATCTAATTTTATTTAAAATTTTTAATTTTTCATTATATAGGTTTTACACTGTAGTACTAATACGATATTTACAGTTTATCAATAGTTGTTTCATACTAAAATAAGATTTTCAGGCCCTATAATAATAAGATTTGACAAGTTAGCTATTTGCGAAAAATTATTAGAAGGAGTTTAATTTTATTCATATTTTATTAATCTTGAGCTGATACGTATTTTTGTATTCAGAATTGCAAGATCTGAAAATGATTTATGGGGATATGCTAAAATTGGTTTTAAGTCAAGTTTTTTGTTTCAATTAGCAAAGTAACATTCTTTATTTCTTCAAGAATTTAATGAAGATATATGTAGAATAACTATAATATATAAAACAGAAGTTAAAAAAACATATTGTGAAAGTACGTAAGAAATAATTTTAGTGAGCAAGGAACAAAAATTGCCAAATTAAAGACATTTACTTGAAATGAGTTATTTGGAATTGAAAGCATTATAATACAATGATTGATTCAAGCTATAAAAATTTCTTCTTGTTCATTGAGTAATTGAAATAATGATGTACTTATGAAACAAGTTTTTTTTATCATCTCAAATAGCGAACTATCAGTAATATTGATTAATGCAAGTTTTTAAGCAAATGGCAGAAACAGGGAATAATAATTAAATTTCATAGTAATCTAAAACAATTATATCTTATAGATTATAAATTTAATGAGCGTAAATTAAATGCATGGAGAATAATACTTCACAATATAGGATGTTATGATATAACACCATTTTCAAAGTAAGATTCAAAGGTAAGAATAAAATAATAATTATTTTTTAAAAAAATTATTTTCTAACTATACAATTTATTACAGTATGAATTTTAGATAAGATTATTGAATCTCAATATTGAAAAAAGTGCATTGAAATAGCCACATGAACTTGGTTTATTGATGTCACAACTAATAAACTCCTATGATATATATAATACATTTTGGGATTGCTTTCAAAAGTCTAACAATCAATAAAAAAGGAGATAATAGAAAACAAAGAATATTGTTCATAATCGCAAATTATTTCAAATATGAGAATCTTCAGAAGTAATTATTAGTATGTATTAATAAAGTAGTTGATTTTGATTTTCATTTTGCTAAATTATTGTACATTAAGTTTCAAATAATTTGATATCAAAAGTACATATTCACTATCATCTTAATAGGTCTGGTAGTTCTCCAATGAAAAAACCTTCTTTTACATATAAAAGGCTGCCTAGTGAAAAATTGCATGAATTTGAAAAATTTATTAATGACAAAGTGCATGTAATTATGAGCTCATACAAAACAGATAGTAAAACTTATATATCAGACAAATACCTTCGTAATACCAAGCAAGCATTTTGGGAAAAATTTCACACTGAATTTTCTAATTGAGTTTATTGTATAACCTTTATAATAAAACTACAAGAAAATGAATACATATATCGAGAAGATTTAGGCAGATTGTATTCAACTTGTAGGAGATATTTAAAGATATTAGAAAACTTATTGAAAATAAGTTTATAGATGATATAAAAAAGGTATTTAGCTAATAAAATTCTGTTTTTAAAGATAATTTGCTTAAACATATCATTTTATTTATTTAGAAACAATTTCTTGATGAGTTAGAAAGATTACAATGATTTTGAAGTGAAATTATGAAAAAAATCTTATTATTAATAATAAAGGAATAATAAAGCATAATCCTTGTATTAGTTATTATTTACTATAGGCATTTGGAATTTGTATAGAATATACATACGCATCTCAAGAATGTGCTGAATTATTTACCTTCTTTAGACATCTTAAAAATCAGCTTTCTACAGACTTGCATGAAGATCTTGATGAATATCAAAACCATCTATTATATTATCTTGCTCATCAAGCTTGTAAAGTTTATTTGAATGTTCAATTTAACATTTATTTATTAGATTTGGATGAGAATGATGCTGTATTAGTTGTTGATTATAAAATAAAAATACTTTCAAAAAGTGCTAGAGAAACAAAAGCTGAATTTTTTGAAAAAAAAGATTAAACGTTACATACAATTCTTATATATATAAAAAAGCCAGGATATCAAGAGCTTGATATTCATGCTTATGATCATTAGTTTATGAATGTACGCTAGGATTCTTGGTTTACAGCTTTATCGCTCTATGTCGTAATTGAATCACCAGAAAATAAGTTGAAGTAGATCACAATTATTTCAGATAATGATCTTCACTACCACAATTCTGATCTAATGATAATTTTAGGAAATTGGTTAGAATAGTACCAAATATATGTAAAGAAATGGATATTCCTGAAAGCAGGTGAAGCAAAATGACTATTGATAGTCATCATACAAAGGTACTAATAATAAAAAGAAAATAAAATAAAAAATGTGATTTACTTACATAATGAATGTCGACATTTTAGATTACCTATGCAATAAAATGTCAAATACGTCTTGGATTGGATATAATGGAGAGTGCTGATATTGAAGCTGCAATTAGGGATATTTGTAGAACATCTGTTATACATTTAAAACCAAATCGAATAAAAGGTGAATTTTAATTAAATGAAATAATCAAAGAATTATATTATCTGATTTTGACTTACTTTAAATCAAAATAAGAAAAAAATACTCTTTCTGGTAATTCTAATTTACTTGAATGGACTTGGCCAAGAGAAGAATTAATGACAGACTATATTTTTGGTTAAGAGATTCCTAATATTAGAGAATGGATAAAATTTTCACCAGCACAAATAGCTAATTTGCAAAAAAAACAATTTGAAATTCCTAAACCTATGGTTTCAACTCATACAATTCCTAAAAATAAATGGATAGTCACTATGCCAAATGTATCAGGTGCATTACCTTTTCAGCTAGTCAGCTTTTGTGAATATTATCCAATCTACATTTTGTCTCTGATCTAGGTATTGATCCTAAAGATTGACAAGAGAACAATTATTATCTGAATTGAAAAATGAAATATCAATGTTATCAACACTGCTAATGCAAAAAGAGATGAACTGATTAGAGAATTAGAACTGACCTTGATTAATGAAACAGAAATGATGCAACATGGTAAGAAAAGAATTTTATAAGAAATATTGAAACAAAATGCTAATTACTGTATGTTTTTGAAAAGATTCTGAAAATCCAGCAAATCAAAATATTATATGGTATGTATACTTTTTTTAAATGCATATTAGTTATTTATTAATTAGAAACTTACTTATTCAATAGGAATTCCTTTCACGAGTTTCCCTTGGAGTCTGGATGGGCATTAAAAAGTAAGCAAAAATATGGTAAAAAAGGAGGCGGAAAACGTATATCTAAAAGAGTATGGAAACTTTTAGAAGAATATATTTTGGAAGGAAATGTTTATAAAAAGTAAAAGATTTACCGCTACCACTATGTTAGAAAATCTCAGAAGAAAAGTTGAAGAAGGAGAGTTAGACGAAGAAGAAATTCCAAAACTACAAACTATTCAAGGTTGGATATCCCGTTATTCAGCACAACATCACCAAAAAATGGCAGAAATGTCTTTAATATGTTAGGAGGTGTATCGGGCTCATAAAAAAATAAATAAAATAAATAATAAAATAATAAAATAAACATGAAATAATAATATAAAAACGGTTTTATAAAAGAATATATAAAAATATTATAAAAAATTATAAAATCTTAGTTCTGCCATTGTTGAAATCGCAAGTTCACATTAGCTTGGAATCTGCCTTTCCCTCAAATTAAAGTCATCGAAAATATTATCAAAACATCGATAAAATAGAAATTAGATAATGTTACGTCATAATGATGATAATTGGCTAATAAATTGGATGTGTAACTATGGGCCAGGTGATCTTTTAATAATGCAAATAATTTCATTTTGACTAAATGATCTACAAAAATTTCCCCGATTTAGTATAGTAATTTTTTCTCCGATTGTTACACGGATCACGAATTAACTGATTAAAAAAAATTGATTATTGATATCGTATTAAAATAAATTATTTTTTTTGTATTTAAATTATTTTTTTTTTTATTTTTAATGTAGAATGCTTTTTTTTTATTTAATTGATTCTGGTAATCTTGCGCAATACGAATCTGCAAAATCGGAAATATACTTCAACCGGTTTAATGGTTTTATATTAGGCCTAAAACCGGTTTCAATCTTGTCAAAAGGCGTTATTATTTTTTTATTTTGACTAGTAACGATATTTACATTAGCTTCATTAATCGATTTTTTATTCTTTCCTTATATGGCCAAGTATAGGATGCAAGTGACATCAACATGGGCTAAAAATTATTTAACCGGTAATTATCCAGTTAACGAATCTTTTAACCGGGTATTATCCGGTTGCTTAGAAACTTGATTAACGTTGAACAGTTAGAAGAAAAAATGCAAAAAAATACTTTAAATTCAATTAAAATCGCATAATCTTAGCAGTACTCAACTATCACCACAAATTTACAAAAAGGCTTATCAATCGATTTTTCTTTTCTTTCTTATTTAGTTTAAACCGCTTTATTTCTTTTTTTTCCTTATTACGATTCAACAAAATGGGTAGTCAATCCTCCAAGTCTGATGATCAAAAAGCAAAAACAGCTACTAGTGTTGGAATTGGCGTTGGTCTCGTGATAACCAGTGTCATTTGTCCTCCTTTAGGAGCAGCAGCTACGTTTTCCACCCTTGGCACGGGAATAGGAATGAAAGTAGTTGGAAGTTTGGCAGATGAGGAGGGTTTAGAAGAAGCAGGAGATGTTTTTATTTTAGGAGCAGAAATAGGAGGAATAGGAAACACAACAACCCGAGCTGTCCAAGGATCACATGCTCCATGCGGTGGTTGTAAAAGTCTTCCCAAAGTATTCAAATAAAGTAAGTAAAATTATAAAATAATGTATTATTACTTATGTTAAAAAGTCTATTAATAATCAAAAACCAAAAAAATATAGGTTGCGTTGGATTTTTCCTATTTTTTTTAAAATTTTCTTTTTACTTGGTCGCCTAGTTATTTTTTTTTTATATCTTTTTTTAAATAGTTGAATATTTTTTTTTCTTCCTCTGGTTTTAGAGTAAGATTTTTTCCGATCATGGACTTTTCAACTATTTCTTTTTTTATCTCTTGTAGTTAGTTTTAACTAACTTTTTTCTTTTCGTTTACTTCTTTTCATTTTATTTTTCTCTGTCTTTTTAAGTGACAAAATTGAGCCTTTGTTAGTAAAGTGAAATAAATGCTTCGAACTCAATAAAAGTTAACTTTGTTTATTAACTAAGAAATTAATTGCTTGGTAAAATAATAGTTCAGAAATGCTTGTGTTCAGTTCGGAGTATAGGTTCGAATGGTTAGGAAGCGATTTTAGTTCGGAAAAGTTAGTTCGGAATTGAACTTAGATTTTTTTAGCAAAAACTTTTAAAATTAACTTAATAAAAAGCGGACAATATTTCGCATAATGTAATAGAACCTTACGGAATATTAAGGTATAAAAAGCCTAGAAAATGATTTGATAAGAATGAAATTTTAAAAGCTTGTAGCTTTTATCAAGCAGAAATATCTCGTTGCGAAACCTTACTTAATAACGAGGGATTTATCAAAAATGCTTCTCCTGAAACATTTAATAAAGAAAAGAAAAATTAAACTACTATCGAGAGCAATTTAATTGCTTGAAAGAGGACAAAAAGAACATATAAACTTGTATTGCAAAAGAGAAATAAACAACTTTATTATCAGAGAAAACAAACAGTCTTGGCAAGAATGTTATCAGAAAACTAAAGCTTCTCGGAAAGAACCTCGCTGTACTAATTGTCATTTGTTCACAAAAAATCAGCGAAGAAAGAAATAAAACCAATGTAGCTATAACATGTACGTTAGGGCCGGGAAAAAAAATTTTTTAGATTCTCGTGACCCGACCGTCTCAATTTTTACAAAAACTCGAATTTTTTTTTATAAAAATTATTTTATCACGTGACTTTATATAATGGCATATACTTTATTATAAAAAAATTTAACATACTATTTTCGTGATTTTTTTTGTCATTTGAAACTTGATATTCTTAGCACGTTTTTTATTGTCAGAATCTGTCATATAACACTCACTACAATAATAGTAATATCCTTCATTTACCTTATTATTTGCGTAATACAAAACATATAATATACATATAAAAAAAATTTATATATAAAAAAAAAGGGTTACCGTGTCAATTTTAAAATTTTAAATCAAGAGAATCTAAAAATTTTTTTTGCCCGGCCTTACATATTTTTTTTTCTCCAAGAATTTTTTTATTATTTCTGCTATAAACAAAAATTAAAAAATCAAAATGCAAGATGCCAATAATTCGAATGAGTCTGTTAATTGGATTAAAGATGCAATCTCAAGAAATCATATTAAATACTACGAATACAAACATTTTAGCAATGTTCAAATTATTGGTACTGGCAGCTTTGGAAAGTCTATCGTGCAAATTGGAAAAGTTCTCCACAACCTCTCGCGCTAAAAGCGTTTCATAATTTTAACAACGCCACTGTTAAAGAAATTGTTCGTGAGGTAATTATAAAATATACGTTTCAGCTTTTTTCAGTTTATTTAGTATAAAATCATCAAGCTAAAATTTATATTTGTTGTAATTTAGCTCGAACTTCAACGTGAAGTTGATTTTCATGATAATATTATTCGCTTTTGTGGGATAACTTCAAAACAA